CCCCCGCAGCAGCAGCAGCAGCAGCAGCAGCAGCAGCAGCAGCAGCAGCAGCTTCCTCGTCCGCAGTGGCACAGACCATCCACCGCACCGCCTGGCCACTCCCAGTTATCTCCGTGACCACCCGCAGCCCCTCCATAGTCCGCGCGCTGAGGCCGTCCCACAGCACGGACTGCCCGTGGTTTGCTGCTGCTGCTGCAGCGCAGCAGCAAACCCGCCAAGCAGCCCACAATTCAGCAGCAGCAGCAGCAGCACTGCAGCAGCAGCAGCACGGCAGCAGTACTGCGGCAGGTTTGCAGCAGCAGCACTGCAGCAGCAGTATTGCATCACTATTGCAGCAGCACCACTGCAGCAGCAGCAGCACCACTGCAGCAGCAGCAGCAGCACTGCAGCAGCAGCAGCAGCAGCAGCAGCAGCAGCAGCAGCAGCATACTGTCAAAGTCTTGGAGGCTGGTGAGGCTCTGCGAGCGCGTGGAGCGCCGCCTGAAGTGGGACTGTCCGCTTTTGCGTCTTTGCGAAATGTCGAAAACCATTTCGCTCTGAGACTTCTGCCCGCCCTTCAGGCTGCAGCAAACAGCAGCAGCAGCAGCAGCAGCAGCAGCAGCAGCAGCAGCAGCAGCAGCAGCAGCTGACGGAAGGCTCTGCGCTGCTGCGGAGGCGCCTGTTGGCCCAGAAGACTGCGTCGGGGATGGAGAGGAAGCAGCGCTCGGGAGGCAGCACTTGGTAGAAAGCAGCTTTTTGCAAGAAGTCCCTCATGGGGCCTTTCCAGTTGGCGAAGAGCAGCAGCACTTGCTGCTGCTGCAGCTGCTGCTGCAGCTGCTGCAGCATGCGAATGGCCGTCACGTCCAAGTCATTAATGGAGCTGCAGTCCACCACCAAACAGCGCGTCGACTGCAGCAAACTCTGCAGCGCCCGCGCCGCGAAAAAGTCGCTGTTGCTGAAGTTCAACGACGCGTCGAAACGCACAATTCGGATGCCTGCAGCGCCAAATAAATCAAATTTTGCAAATTATTTCAATTATTTTCAAATTATTTAAATTAGTTTTCTATTATTTGCGAAAATCCGAAAAAATTCCAAAAAAAACGCAAAATCCGCTTTTTTCTGCACTTTCCGCGAACGCCGCACCCGCTGAGGTGTACAGACACCCCAGACCGCCCGCCCGCAGCAGCAGCAAACGCATGCAATGCATGCAATGCATGCAATGCATGCAAATGCATGCAAATGCATGCAATGCATGCAAATGCATGCAAATGCATGCAATGCATGCAAATGCAGAAGGAATGTGCATGCAAGGTGAAGCAAAAGCCCAACTGCACTCAGCAGAAGCAAAAAACCCGCAGCAAGCAAACCACCACCAGCAGCAGCAGCAGCAGCAGCAACAGCAGCAGCAGCAGCAGCAGCAGCAGCAGCAGCAGCAGGACCTTCTTCCTCGATGGCCATGGGGAACCTCTTGACGTTTCTGTAGATGAAGGTGTTGGGCAGTCTATTTGCTGCTGCTGCTGCAGCACGTGTTTTGCTGCTGCAGCAGCTCAGCAGCAGGCACAGAATGGAAGCCAAAATGCCCTCCATAGCTCCAAATATAATAGTTATAAAGAAGCAAACCACCCACAGCAGCACGTCAAGACCACCTGCAGCAGCAACCGTAAACGACGTCGTCGTTAGCATTTGCTGCTGCTGCTGCAGCACGTGTTTTGCTGCTGCAGCAGCTCAGCAGCAGGCACAGAATGGAAGCCAAAATGCCCTCCATGGCTCCAAATATAATAGTTATAAAGAAGCAAACCACCCACAGCAGCACGTCAAGACCACCTGCAGCAGCAACGCATTTGCCGCAGCAGCAAAGCATTTGCTGCTGCTGCTGCAGCACGTGTTTTGCTGCTGCAGCAGCTCAGCAGCAGGCACAGAATGGAAGCCA